GATGCATTTCAACTAAATATATAGATACACACACATTCTGGCACCTGTTTCACTCTTAAAGGAGAAGCTGCTGCCTGAGCATGCTCACACTATTCAAGGAGTCACACACACACATCACCTGAAACTTTAACTGCTAAGACCAGAGTCCCTTCACAGCAGGAGGCTCCAGGGAGCCAACTCCTTGCTCACATGCACACCACTCATGGACATGCTTTCTCCTACTTTGGGCTTGACCTTAGGTTTCCCGTAGCAGAGTCTCAGGTAATGGATTTATAAATATAAATAATTCAATAGAGTGCAACAGCCGCAGATCATCTCAAGCTGAGTGCCTTCAGAGAGGGACACAGAGCAAAGAAATCCCCAGGTAATTATACCCTCATGAATTCTGCACCCACCCCTCATGCAGTCTTCCCACGCCTTCCATGCTTTTCTTGTTCTAATGGTGATTTGGGGGGTCTTTTAACAACTCCTTGGAGTCTTTCAATTTGTCTGTGAGGGCAGGCTGTCCAGTGTTCTCATCTCATGGAGTTACAGCTTGTGCTGGCAGTTCTAGTGTCTTGTTTGCACCACTGCTGCACCTGCACTCTGGTAGAACACGGGAAACTAAAAGAGCTGTGGATCTGGGCTAAACACTACTTATCAACAACCTAACCATCAGTGTGTTTCAATGTTTTTCTCATACTAAAGACAAAGTAAATCACTGTACTAGCTACTAGGCAACTTACTATGAATATGTATTCCTATAATCTATTCCAGCCAAAATCATACCTAGGTGTAAGTTCACAGCTTGCAGCCTAAGGCTTCACCAAACCAAGTTACTCATGCTAAGGCAGACAGAATACTAAACATACAGTATTTTAATTGTGTAATTCATTCTATATAACATTTATTTAAGCTAAACAACTAATATCTCTCAATGTTCACTTGCTGATCATTGCACATTCCTCTTATTCACTTCTCAATTAGTACATTGCAGAAAATGGACAGATATCAACTGGCTTCAACAGAAATGGCTTTTTGTTGCTTTTCTAGCTCATGTTTGTGGCATGCAGACCTACAGCATGTCATGTAATCTGCAGAGTTAGAAGGCTGGAACTCTCTATCTACCTTCTCGGGTACAACAGGAACAGGAAAGGTGATATACCTTATATACCTTGGTTATACCTTATAGTTGTTACACCATTTGCCTTTTCTCAAAACCAAACCAACAACAAATCAAAACAAACAATCCAAAACAACAGAGAAACAAAACAAAACACATGGACCATAATATTGTCTACTTTGAATAACAAATTTTCTGAACAGACTGTCATTGTGCATTGCAAGGAAGCAGTTTTTTGCATAAACACACTCAAGCAATGCTTATGAAGCACTTTGCATTTTAAAAGAGGAGTCAAGACCAAAGAGACACAAGACAGCTCCCATTTTCTGGAATAACTTTGCAAAGACTATGTTTGAAAAAGAATATTTCAGATTTACTACTTTTCATGGCTCTGAGGGGTTTTTGTTTATTTGTCATTAATCCACTTTTATTCAGGCTTCGCTTCTTAGAGATATGCTTCCTATTTTCCCGACTTTCCATTTATTTGTTAATAAATGATAATAATGATAAGGTACATACCTTATCATTCTCCTATTGATAACAGAGCTGTTGCAAAGTCACTGTCTTCAATGGACTTCTAGTCTGAAGATCACTGACCTCAGCGATTCCATCAGAGGCTGAAACAGTTGCTTAGTTTTCACATGCCTTTGAGAGTACAAAGATCTCCTAAAAAATGCTGGATTTTGTTAGCAAAATGAAGAGATACACACCAAAGCCACATTCCCTCTGGTATTATACAGTTGATCATCTGGTTGCTGCTCTGCTCCAAATTTAGATTTAGACTGGTGATATTAGAGTTTGAAAAAATACATCATCAGAAAATGTATCCCCAAAGAGAGATATTTATATACAGGAAATTCCTACTATAAATTCTTTCTTGAGCTTGTATTGATTGCTGTTGGAAGTAAAAAATTGGCTGGATTTACCTTCTTACTGTATCATCTGAAGGAAAACTATCTTTACTTGCACAGATGCTAAAGGGAATGAACAGGCAGATGACAGGCAGGAAGACAGTCATTGCACTCAAAATGCAGATAGAAGACAAACTCATGACAATACTGTAAGACAGTTGTTTACAAAAAGGAGAAAAATGGAAGTATGATTTAAAAAGGTTAATTCAAATGTGTGAGGACATCTTAAAATTACTCAGAAAAAAATTCGATCAGGCGTCATTAGAATTCATCAGCTTTTGAAAAAATTCCTTTGCTAATGAAGCTGTTGTTTAGGAACTTATTTTTTTATTACAAAGACAGTGGTAACTGTGGAGAAAACTGACCAGATGAAATCTTAACTTCACTTGTATCTGGTCCTCTTCTGGGTCAGGATTTCAGCTGTTGTGCCCTTTACTTGGAAGTCTTTCATTCATGTACTAATCAGCTATTTCACCAGTGAGATCTAGTGTAAGATGTATCTGTCCACTTCATTAAAGAAAAATATCTAACGGATTAATACTACCAGCAAAATTGTACAAGTCATCTTTTCTTTATGTATGGTATTCATGTGTCAATAAAATATTTTACTAACTTGAAATAAAAACAGGCATTTTATGTACCCTGGATTGACAGGCTAAAAACCAAAGTAATATATCATCATCCCAACTTTCTTACTGAATAAATAATGCATTGAAAAATAATTTTATATTAATTTAATTTAAAAATCAATCTTCAATATTTAATTTGCAGTGATCAGTCTTTTCTACTGGTCCATTATGTTGGGGAGGTTCTCAGGCAATATTATCCTGTGCAGATCTCAGTACCCTGAAACCAGAACAGAAGCAGCTTGTTCAATACTAAGAAGATGGTAATCCTGAGGGAAGACTAATGAAGGCGACATTTGTTTCCATGTCTAGTGAAGGTGATATTTGTTTTCAGGTACAGGGAGTAGCTATTGAACAGAAACAATGACTCTAGGAAATAAATATGTAAAACTTTCAGTCATCCAATCACTTACATGGCTCTAACTTCCAATACAGCAGCAGGATGACAGGTGTATGTATTTGAGTTTCCTTCCTGAAGCAGTCCTCTGCCAAAATCTTTCTTTCCCAAATGTTAATCTACACTTTTTTCCTAGTTTAAAAAAGTATAATTTTGGGAAGGGTTGCCGATTACATTTCTTGTAATTAGCTGTGTCATATATATATTTATTAGAAAAGGAGAAACAGAAAATATTACATTAGTCTGGAGTCTTCAGTAGTTTATAATTTGTGCTTACAATATGTGATGTAAAATGGTTGAGGTTTTTAACCTCTCCTATAAGCATGGTTTTGAATTTTTGCAAGCGGATTAATCTATCTACATGACAAAGTGCTCAAGCATGTAAATACCTGTGACCTGAGCTGAATTAATCTTCTGTGATTCAATACCAGAACTCAACTGCAACTAATAAAGATTGATGGCAAAATGAAAATTTCTGATCCACCTAATGAGCTTATTGGTGCATTTAGAACTATTCACATGGCAAATCTTTTAACGTCTACATTGGGATATTTCTATTTGCAAACAGCAACTCGGATGTTTACATTTGCAATTAAAAATATTTTAGATATACCAGTTTTGTTCTGCAACTTCTGTTATTTGTTTGAAATGGTCTGATAGTTTTTCATGATGATTTTATTTTCTTTTTCCTAAAATGTTTGGTTTATTTAAAAAGGAGATGATAAGGGTAAAGCATATGTTTAATGACATAGTTATTGAAAAAGAAATTTGTTCCACTAACTTTATGTGAATCATTTTAGTTGGTATTAATTACAGAGAAATTGAGATGCACACTTTTTATGTTTAACTAAAGAACAGAGCAGGAGTTGCATGCCTATTGCTTTCTTAAATGTGATTGGAACTGAATTTGCTCAATTGCAGCAGAAATATTCCTGCACATTCTGAATTGCCAGATGTGGTAAAAATCTTTATCAAAGTGATGTGTGATAAAATGTCATGTATCTGGCAAAACCCGCTTTTTTTTTTTTTTCCTCTGAGCTGCTAATCACACAAGGATTTGGAGTGAGAAGTTTTTTAGCAAACCATTAGTTCCAGGAGGACAGATGGAGGAGGAGGAACCACTTATGGAAATGATTGAAGATGGTAGGACTCTGAGGAAAAAGAAGTTGCATGGGGGAGAAGACATTTCAGGAGCCAGAAGTTAACATAAAACAGTACAATAGGGATCAAAGCTCTGATTCTTGAAGCAGTAGCTGCCAACGTGCACATGTGCAACCTCCTGTTAAAGTCAATGGAGAAAAGACAAGCAGGAGACCTTAATTCAGCTTACCACATGTACAGATTTAATTCCTGTTTTTAAAGGCAGACAGTATTTCAGGTTTCCATCTGCACAGGGGTGGATGCTGTGACTTTGGAAACTGGGGACACCTGGGTCAAGCCTTTCAGGCTGGAAGCTGAAGGCCAAGCAGGTAAGGAAGCCTGGGCACCTAAGCTGATCTGTATCTGTCCAATACAAACCAATTTTTTCGTCCTGTTTGCAAAGTTCAAATCCTTCTACACATTTAAGGCACAATGAACATTTAAAAGTTGTCCTTTTATGACAAAAAAGTCTGTGAAATGGGGGACCTTATATATGTGTAGTGCCCTTGTGGGTTGAACCCGGACAGATGCCAGGTGCCCATCAGAGCTGCTCCATCACTTCCCAGCTGGGCAAAGGATTAAAAAATATAGCAAAAGACTAGTCCTTTGCATTGCAGATTCAGCAACAGTATATGCAAAGCTGAGTATATTCTGTAGTTCTCAAAGCTGACAAAATTTGGAATATTATATTTTGTTTTGTTTTGCTTTTTCTGAGGAACTTAATCAGGGTTTCTTCTGTTTTGTTCATTTTAGTATATAGAGTTGCATATTTTGATCTTATGTGCACAGATATGATATAGATGTGAAAATAACTTGTGTGTATTGGTGCATTAGCTCAGTTGGTTAGTGCACAGTGTTAATAATGCTAGGGTTGAGGGTTTGATCCCCATATAGGCCATCCACTGAAGTGTTGGACTTGATCTATGTGAGTCTCTTCCAACTCATAATATTCTGTGATTCTGTGAAATTCTAAAGTCTTAGTCTCATCTCTTTCCTATATTTCTCCTGAGAATCAAACCTTAGAGGTTTCTCTTCCCCTTTATGCCACTGCTTTAGGAAATCTGTTCAGCATTTTACCTTATAAAATGAGAGTGAAGAGTCATGAGCCTGCAGCAATCAGAAGCATGATTGCAGCCGTGGTAAGCTAGATCAAAAATAGCTCAGGCACTAAGTACAGATGATATGGGCTAACCCCAAACCCAGCTGCATTGGGGTTATGCAGCCTGGTGTGGCTCTTGCAGGTGACCACAGCTGCCATGTGGACTGACCAAAGCTGGCTTGAGAGCTTGTACAGACATACAAAATACCACAGTTCACCTGACCAAAAGCTCTGCATGCCCCTTGGTTGGTTCTCTAATGCAGTGATGTGGAAACAGAGCAACAGGTCCTACATCAAAAACATTGATGCTGCTACTTCTTTCTACTGCTTTAGCTGAGAGGAGAACTTTTAAGAAAATATACTGTAATGTATGTGGTGTAGCTTGTCTGTTTACCTCACTCCTTTGTCTCAATAGATATTTGCATATAAATTGCTTGAAGAATATATTAACAACCAAGGAAGTTGGAAAAAGAAATTTGAATGAATTGTAAATCCACCAGAGGTTTTTTCCCAGACTTAGAAATTTATATATAAACACAAAATGTAGTTCCTTAGAGTTGCCACTACTCCTGCATTGGAAAATTATATCACTGTTGTAGAAATAAAATACCACTGAAAGCAGCGTAATTAATTAAACAGGGAAAAGTTCATCTCATTCTGACTTGGTAGTTCAGTATTTATAAACGTAGTAGTCATTGAAGGGTAAAGCAGATTGCTGCCATATTGATTCAGTTAAAAAAAAAAAAAACTGAGTGGAAAAGCTGCGTGCAATAGCAAAATGTTGAGAATAAAAATAAAACTGGGTTCAGAGAGAATCTGAGGAGGAATCTAAACTGAGGTAGCACAGTCTGAGTGAAATACAACCCTGTTGAAGCAAAATATACAAAAGAAAAGCAGAGCTGTGCATGATTACGTATAATGACTCACTTTTTAAAACAACTACTTCCAAACTTTTTCAAGTTTTATGTATACCAGCACAAATCAGATTTGTTAAAAGAGATGTTAGAAGACTTAATTAGAGTGTGATAGAGATAAACAATTCCAGATAATTTCCATAGTCAGGCAATCAGTGAAGAAATCAAAAGAAGAGATACATAGATAAACAGCAACTAAAAAAAAAAAAATCATGATTTACAAAAACAAGGTAGAAAGACAAGGATATGTTTTATAAGATCTTGATTTTTGTTTCATGTACTACATGAAAGGATTGATAATTTTTTTCAATGACCAGTCTAAAAAATATCTATTATATGTATAAAATATAAAATATATTGTTAATAGATGCTTGCCATTTATTTGTGATAGATGTTGCAATAGATGTCCATCTATATGAAAATAAATAAATTCTAAATTTCTTTGCTGCTTGTTTGTCTTTTTGCAGTTTTGGGATGCATTTGAAATTACATGGTTCGGTACTAATCCATTGAAAGATCTGAACCCTTTTCTTTAAATGAAATCCAAGCATCTCCACTAATTATACATGTCCAAGTGCCTAAATTTCAAATAGAAAACATCTCTTGTAATAGTAAAAGGCTGAATGAAAAGTGAGAATACTGTGTTCTAGTTAATTAGAAGAAAACAAAAATGTGTTTCCTGGATAATTAGTTTTGTTAGCCAGCATTAATCTGAGGTCAATGGCTGACCTGGACTAGACTACTAAAGAAATAAAGTTAAAAAAAATCCAAACAAGAAAAAAACCCCCACAAACTACTAAACAAAGCCTCCCAAAATATATATAAAGTGTATTGTGACAAGCTAGATTTATCTACTGCTTTCTTTTGCCTATTTTTTGAAAGATACTGAAGATCACCTGGAAAGAGTAACAGTGTTTACACACTGTAGTGGGAACTGCAGGACACTGTTTGGTAACAAAAAATTTTGGTTATATTTTGTATATTTAGAGTTGTACTTGTCATACATCAAAATTCATTTTGTAACCTGAAATCCTTAAGCAATAAGATCTCTAATCAGTTGTTTCAGGGCCTGGTTGTATTTGCCTGACCATTTTTATAAATAAACTGGGAAAATCCCAGTACCTGTAGCAATATAAAGAATCATGTCCTACTAAGGAATGCTCCTAAATATCTAATGGATAGGAAGAAAACACACTTCACTCTATCTCTTCTCTTCAAGAAGGTTGAGGAGGGACTTTTTATGAGGGCAGTAACAGGACAAGAGGAAATGGCTATAAACTGAAAGAGGCTAATTTTAGATTAGATATTAGGAAGAAATTCTTTACTGTAAGGGTGGTGAGACACTGGCACAGGCTGCCCAGAGAAGTTGTGGATGCTCCACCCCTGGAAATGTTCAAGGCCAGGTTGGATGGAAGTCTGAGCAACCTGGTCTAGTGGAAGGTGTCTCTGCCCATGGCAGGGGTGCTTGGAAACAGATGTTCTTTAAGGTCCCTTCCAACCCAAATAAATCTATTATTTTGTGATTCACTCCCTGGTCAGTACATTAATGTCATCAAGGAAAGTAGGCACAAATTATTTTTGATCAGGGACTTCTCTTGTAGAATATAATTTTTGGTAATCTGATTATTGCAGGTATTAGCAGACTATATTAAAAATATGATCCTATTTTACTACAACATTAAACAGACAAGATTCAGATTTATGATTGAAATGGCAAGCATACATGCACATTTATGAAAGTTTGAAAAATTACAGAGTAAGTGTACATGTGTTAGGTAGATCAGACAAAGAAAATTATGAGAAGGCATCATTAAGCATGTTGAGATGGCTGTGAAGAGCAATAAATCAAAATATATCAAAAATCCCTTTAGAGGTTGAGGATTTCTGTTATACTTTCTATCATTGTATCAAATAAAAATATGATAGTTCTGCTACTTAGATTCATTGTTCCTATTTGGCATGACAGTCAAAGGTAAATTCAAAGAGAAAATGAGGGGGAAAAGGAAATACAGAAGACATAGAACATATATGTTTATATCTTCAGACTATCAGGGCCTTGACAACAGGCTGGCAACACATTTTTCTTTTATACTTTGGTTCCTCCTTAATTTTCCTCAGTCGGAGATACTCTGTTTGGGCTTGTTTCTTCTTATAGTGAGACAGAATCCACCTACTCCTGTGCTGTTGATTAAACGGTCAGACTTTTCTTTTTTGCAAGTAAAGAAGTAGCAGAAGAACAGAAAAGAATTCACAAGTGGAGCAAGGGCAAAGTAGATCCCCCAGAACTTTCAGCAGGACTTCAGTTAGTTCAAAACTACTGTGTGCTGCCCATTTTTAGTCCTGTTAGAGCATCAAACTAGTGGTCATGGAGATCTTTACATCATAAAGCTAAAATCTGCAGAGAAATGCAGAAGCCTAATAATCTTCCTCTTCTCAGAAGTATTTTCCCAAAATTTTCTCCATGCTCTGACCACATCCAACTGCCCTTTTTTCAACCTGTTTAAGAGATAATGGATGAGACACGAGCCCTAAACTTCTATTATAGTTGTAGGTCTTTTGTGCCAGTTAATGAGGTCAGTTACCTTTCTTTTGCATCTTCTCTACATCACTGCGTCGTTGCATTGTTGTCACAGTGAACATTTTATATGACAAAATTCATAAGCTTTTGTTTAGCTTCTTCCTCTGTCCATGTCAAACTATTTTTTTGGCATAGGCTGTTAGACTCCCTTAATAAGAGGCATTTCTGTATTCTGTACAAGAATAACTCTCTGGCCCTGAGACTTACTCTTCATGTACCTTGCCAGCAGGAAGGAAAAGACTTTGTGTGCTGACATGCTGCATGATCTCTTACATAATGAAAATGCAGCAAACGTGCTTGAATTGAAAAGAAATGAAGAATGACAATAGGGGTCCTGCTATGTAAAATCCTCTTAGCTTTTGAAATGTCACTTTCAGTTGTCATGATGAAACTCTGAATAAAGGAGGCAAACAAAAGACCTCTAATGAGGGCATACAGAAAGTATCGCACATTGGGAGTGGGTTTCTGCAGTGTTGATGCCAAGGTCCAATATTAGGAGGGCAGTTGTATTACTGGGAGATGCTATCCTCCTGATAAAATATTAAAATTATTTCCCATCTGCTTATTTTTAAAATCACTTTGAGATGATAAAGATCTCATGATACTCTCTTGAGGGACATGTTGGTACTGGTGTTAGGGAGGATAGAGAATAGGAAATAACTTTGCTTTCAGCTGGAAAAATCATCCTTTGTTAAATATATCATTACAAATTAATTGGCAGTGTAACAAACATTCATGACTATACAGCATGCAAGACATTATACAGGAGAGACTGGTAGCCATTCTGGTCTGGGTAACAGAATGCACTAAAGCTATTTAACTGTGAAGTTACCCATGAAAGTGAAAAGAAAACAATGTGCTGGTATACTTGCAGAAGCACCTTTCTTTGAGTACACTTTCTGCTTGTTTAACAACAAATTCGGCATTAAATCAGTAGAGTTTAGGAAGAACAAAGAAAAGTTTTGAATTTAAATGCCTAGTGATGAACTTATGTGAATATTGCTAGACAGATATTTCAGTCATCTGCTTTCTTATACATTTCAGTAAAACAATACCAATTCAACATTTGAGCTGTATCTTGCAAGTATAAGCTTTAATAACTGCAACAGAAATATAATTCATCATAGTCCCAAAAGATTATTTCGGTAGTCTACCCAGGACTTAATTATGTAGCATGCAAAGCTTCTGAAATGATACCTGCCACCTGCAGAAGTAGTCCAGTGGGTGGGTGGTGAGACAGTGTGTCAGAACTCCGTTAGTTAGGCACAGGCTCTGGGATAGCAAAGATACACAAATGTTTTGATTAT